AAAAAAAAAAAAAAAAAAAAAAAAAAAAATCAGTCTGTGCCAAGCAGCTGCTTTTCTCCCCTCAGCCCCTCAACCCCAGCCCCGACAGCCGGTGGAACACGTACTTCAAGGACAATGAGGTGCTGCTGCAGATTGACAAAGACGTCCGGTAAGAGGCCATTAGGGGCTGGTTCTGGCCCGGGCCCTGGGGGCAGGCATCCATGGTGCTGCTGGGCCCTGTGCTGGGAGCAGCCACCAGCCAGGATCCTGGGGACAGAGCCCCAGGCAGAGTGCAGGACGGCCCTGGTGGGCGGGCACTGCCTGTGGGGAGCCCCGGAGCCCTCCCCAAGGTCATGAGAAGGAGGGCCGGACTTGGACTGGATCCCGAGGGCACAGCGGGCGTCGTCACTGGCGCACAGAGGAGAGACGAGGTCAGATGTGTAGTATTTTAAAAAGTGTGAGCTATCGTGTGTGTGTTTCTTCCTTGGGAAAGAAATCAGGGAAGCTGCTTTGCCACCTGTGGGACTGGGGAGGCTCCAGGGCAGCAGGGTGGCTGTGAGCTCTGGGGTCTGTCCGTCTGCTCCCCAGTGTGGCTGCACCAGTCGTTAGCTGTGTGACCTTGGGCAGGTGACTGCTGCTCTCTGATCTGATGTTATCTATGACGTAGGAATGAGAGGGTGCAGGCTAAGGACATCGAGGGGCCTGGATTCACCGGTGCGTGGAAAAGGTGTGCCAGTCCTAGCTCTGTGCGGAGGCCCCTCTTGAGGGGTCCGGGGAGCTCTTCCTGTTCTCCGCGGCACCGGCAGAGCCCTTCTGCGGCCCCTGTCCAGTGGAGTCTGCTGCCACAGGGAAGGCAGGGCTGTGAGCAGGGCCAGGAGTGAGCAGACCAGAAGCACCTCTGGCCACATGAGGGGCAGACACTCAGACTGCACAAACACGGAGGCCACACATGGCGAGGGTGTGCTCCGAGAGAGGCAGGGTCCGCTCTTTTGGAGGAGGCGACAGCATGAGGCTCGCAGGAGGCGGAGCGGCGGCTCCAGAGGAAGGAACCCTGTCCCCCATGCTGCCCTGCTGTCTGGGCCCCTGTTGCGATTGCCCCGGGGACCCCAGGGAAAGGGGCTCCTGCCTCCTGCGAGGCCCGGTGTCTGGCCTCAGTCACAAGCCCCGTCTCCGAGGTGGCTGTGGGGAGGGCTGTGGGGAGGGCTGGAGACCGGTGAGGGTAGCACAGCGTGTGGTGTTTGCAGAGAGCAGGTGTGTGAGGCGCTGTGCATGAAAACTGAGAATGGGCGCCTCGTCGCCCCTAGGGGCTGTCTGCGGCCAGCTCTTCTCTCACGCGGTGTCTTCCCTAGTCGGGATGGAGAGGACAGAGTGTACCCTGTAGCTTAACCCGATCTCCCGTAGCACACTGCAGTTACAACCTTACACATATATTTTGTTTTTAATTTTTTGGTGCTGGGGATTGAGCTAAGGCTTCCTGCTCCGAGGTGGGAGCTGTGCCCTCAGCTCCATCCCCAGTCTCAGATGGGGTTCTTTTTTGTTTTGGGCTTTTTGAGACAGGGCCTCACTGTGTAGCTGAGACTGACCTGGAACACACTATCTAGCTTAGGCTGGTCTCGAACTCACAGCGATCCTCTTACCTCAGCCTCCTGAGTGCTGGGATGACAGGCGTGCGCCACCACGCCCGGCCTCAGATGGGTGTTTTTGACACACAGAGTTGCTTGAGGGTTAAGTGGATGCTCAGGTTGCATGACCGTAAACTTGGTACTTTACAGAATGTGTACGCGCCCATCTGTCGGTCCTATAACGTGTGGGGGTGTGGTATACAGTCACGGTCGCCTTTTGGTTTGGATTTTGGAGCTGAGATTTCTGCTTGTAGTTCAGCCTGGCCTTGAACTCACTGCGTAGCCCAGGCTGGCCTCAAACTCACAGTGATCCCCCTCCTTGGCTCACTGGGATTAGAGGTGTGCGCCACTATGCCCGGTACCTATTTCTTTTTTAAACATCACATTGACCTTTGGACAACAAGTTACAGCTGGAAGCAGTTGGTCAGAAGCTGCTCCTGGGTGCAGGCACCGGTGCAGTGGCCGCATGCTCTCGCTCCCGCTCTCTCAACAGGAGGTTGTGTCCAGACATCTCCTTCTTCCAGAGGGCCACCGAGTACCCCTGCCTCCTCATTTTGGACCCTCAGAATGAGTTCGAGACCCTTCGCAAGCGAGTAGAGCAGACAACGCTGAAATCGCAGACCGTGGCCCGGAATCGGAGTGGGGTCACAAATGTAAGTGCCTGCCTGGAGGCCCAGCTGTCCACAGCAGCCTTTCCCTTCCTGTCACCCGAAGCCCCGGGCTGCATCTGCTCCTGACGGCTCCGGGCTCTTCCCAGGAGAGCCTCACGGTGTGGCCACTTCTGGTCCTGAGGTAGCGCTGGCTCTAAGCAGTGACTGCGGTGTGAGCGTGCGGGGAGCAGTGGGGTGGCTGCAGTCAGCGAGGGCGGAGATGGGTGGAGCCAGGTGCCGCAGGGGCAGATCCGAGACACTGGGGGGCTGGAAGGAAGAGCTGGGCAGATCTGTGCGTGGAGCCCCCGAGTCTCGCAGATTCCGGTTCCTCCGGAGAGGCTGCTCGTACACAGACCGTGTTCCCTTCTTTGCCGTTTATAGCCACTGCCTTGGTACCTGGGATGGTAGCCCCATCCTTGTCACTGTCCCCGTCAGAGGAGTGGGGACTGTCTCCGTGTGGCCTCCCCTGCTTGAGGCAGACAGGACAGTGGAGGCTCGTTTCCCCCAGGGACCGACTGTGACCTGGCACAGCGAGGCAGACCCTGTCTGTCCCAGCTCTGTGAGCCTGTGGCTGGGCTGGGGTCCCGCAGAGCTGCCTGAGGTGCCAGGGCTTGAGTGTGCCACAGGCCTCTGAGGGCAGCCGCTCGGGTGGCTGAAGAGCCGGCCAGGCAGGGCGGGGTCAGATCACTGCTTCCGCTGTAGGAGTCGAGTCCCAGGCACAGCTCTGACCCACTGTAACCTCTGCACCCAGTCTTGGTGGCAGAGAGGCCCCAGCATGCTTCATCCTGGGCCTCTGGACCAGTGCTTGGGCAGTCAGAGTCGAAGTTGGCCATCTGGCAGTGGGCGAGGAACAGCAGGGTGGTGTTCTAGGTGCCCGTTCCCTTGTTCACAAGCTGGGCATCACCCTTGCCGCCTGCCTGGCTGTGGCGTTGCCAGGAGGATGGAGGGAGGCCTTGGAGAGCAGAAAGCTGGGAAGCCTGGGCATCGGGGAGGCCTGCCCAGACGTGGAACTCGGGCTCTGGAGTCAGTCGGGCTAGCACAGAGGAGACGTCTAGGAAGTGACAGAGGAGATTGCGCCAGGCGTGGTGGTGCACACCTGTAATGCCAGCACTCAGGAGGCCGAGACAGGACATAGTGCCTAATGCCCAGCGCACAGTTGGCAGCAGCTGGGACGCCCTCTGCTATTCCAGGGTGCCACTTGTTAGCCAGGCATTTTGGCGCACGGCTGCAATCTCAGCACTCTGGAAGGTGAGGCAGGGGGATCACTGCGAGTTTGAGGCCAGTCTGGGCTATGTAGTAAGACTGTCTCAAAGAAATGAAGAAAGATTGGGTGCGGAGCTATACACCTATAGTTCTAGCACTCTAGCACTCTGGGAGGCTGAGACAGAAGGATCCTAAGTGTGAGCCCAGCCTGGGCAACTTAGCAAGATCCTGTCTCAAAAAATAAAACAAGGGCTGGGGATGTAGCTTGGGGTGAAGACCAGTTCCCCACCCACTAAGAAAGAAGGAGTAAGTTTATTGTTTTATTCCAGGCTAGGATCCGGGCAAGGTCTATGCTGTTTCTTCAGTTTCCTGATTTGGATTGGGTCTCCACTCTCACCCCCAACGGTTGGCTTTTTCTTGAGGGGTGGGGTTGAGACAGGGTCTGGGTAGGTAGTTCAGGCAGGTCTTGAATTTACAGGGGTCCTCCTGCCTCAGCCTCCTGAGTACTGGGATTATGGGTGTGCACCATCACACTTAGCCAGTTTACCTTTTGAGGACTCTGGGCCAGTTGTCCATTTAAAGATATCGTTTTGAATTGAGGTGTAACCTACATGAAGCAAAATGTACTGTTTTTTTGTGTGGTTCAAGGCGCAGAACATTTCATCATCCACAAAACTCCTCCTTCCCTTCCTGTTCAGCCCCTCCCTGCACAGGCGTCCTGTGCCTGGCTTAGCCCTTCTCTCAGAGAGTGCTGCTTGCTTTCCGGGTGGCATCGACATGCTCCCCGGTGCCTGTCTTTCCCGTGAGCCGTGGCTGGGCCTCGCAGAAGCTGGCCCGCCTCACGCCCCGCCTCACGGCCTCCCCACCAGATGAGCTCCCCGCACAAGAACTCAGCGCCCCCAGCCCTGAGCGAGTACGAGCTGCTGCCCAACGGCTGCGAGGCCCACTGGGAAGTGGTGGAGCGGATCCTCTTCATCTACGCCAAGCTCAACCCTGGCATTGCCTACGTGCAGGGCATGAATGAGATCGTGGGGCCCCTCTACTACACGTTCGCCACGGACCCCAACAGCGAGTGGAAAGGTACAGCTCCCTAGAGAGGCAGGGGCAGGCCACAGAGGGAGGGGCCGTGGGGCTGAGCGGCCACCCCAGGCCCCAGCCGCCTCTGGATGGCCCCAGCCCTTCCCGCTCTGCCCGTGGCGCCGATGCGGACGAGGAAGGAGCCTGATCTGCGGTAGAAGGGATGAGGCGAGCATTTGGGAGGCGGAGAGAGAGATTGAAACCTCAATTCAAAGTCACCGTACGCCGGGGACGGGGACCGCATCAGATGGGAAGAGCACGACGAGGTCCTGCGTCTGGGGCCGATGGTGGCCGAGGACAGGGCCTCAGCCGTGAGAGTGAGGACTCGGGATGGGAAGGGTTCCGTGGTGACGGGGGGGACGTGTTGCACACCCAGAGCACGCCGAGGCGGACACCTTCTTCTGCTTTACCAACCTCATGGCCGAGATCCGGGACAACTTCATCAAGAGCCTGGACGACTCACAGTGTGGCATCACCTACAAGATGGAGAAGGTGTACTCCACCCTGAAGGAGAAGGACGCAGAGCTCTACCTGAAACTGGTGAGGCCCCAGCGCCCCACCCAGCCTCACTGGGCCGACAGGGTGGGGCGGCGGCGGACCACCACTGAGCTCCAGGCCAGCTTGGGCTACCGGGTGCGACCCTGTCCCAAAAATTAAAAAAAAAACACAGAAAAACAGGTAGTGACTTTGTTTCTGAAAATTCTTGTAGTGACATGCCATATATATATATTTTTTAAATATATAATTTTATATATATTTAATATATATATTTTGGGGGGGTTGAGACAAGGTCTCACTGTGCATTTGATTTGGTTTTTTGGGGTTTTTTTGGTTTTTTGAGACAGGGCCTCACTATGTAGTTGAGACTGACCTGGAACTCACTGTGTAGCCCAGGCTGGTCTGGAACTCACAGTGATCCCCCTGCTTCAGCCTCCCAAGAGCTGGGATTACAGACATGTGCCACCATACATGGCTTTCTGTTTATATTTTAGAAAGCAAGTCAGTAAAACGTGTATCAAATGCTGGGGATTTAGCTCACTGGCACCATGGCTGCCTCGCAAGTGAAGGGTCCTAAGTTCAATCCCTGGTACAAAAAAACAAAATATGTTTTTTGTTTGTTTGGTTTTGTTTTGTTTTGGGTTTTTTTTGTTTCTGTTTTTTGGTTTTTGGTTTTTTGAGACAGGGTCTCACTGTGCAGGTGAGACTGCCCAGGAACTCACTGTGTAGCCTAGGCTGGTCTCGAACTCACAGTGATTCTCCTGCCTCAGCCTCCCGAGTGCTGGGATTACAGGCGTGAGCCACCTCGCCTAGCCAAAATGATGTATATTGACATAGAAACAATGCTGTGAGAAAAAATAACACCCCAATATGTCTCCTTCAGTAAACGTGCCACGCCATTTGGCGCTTTGTGGCACGTTCTGGTCAGTTAGTGACGGTCACCTCTGTTGGGGACAGATGCCCTGCAGGGTCAGTAGATGGCAGGTAAGGGAAGAAGGATGCTTTGAGCTTGCTGATGACTGTCACTGGGGGTCCTCAGATCCAACGTTACAGCCTACATGCTGTGTTAGCGGAGTTGGAGCCATCATTCCTAAATCTGGAGTGCTCTGGAGTCCCTGGAAAAATCAGATCCTATAGCACTGGCTGGCAGCAGGCACAGCTGCCCCTTCACGGAGCGGGGCCTTCTGGGTGGCTCAGCGCCACCCCTCCATGTCCCTGACATTTCCACAGTGACCCCTCCCTCTGCCCCAGGCCTCGCACCAGCCCCCGCTCTCTCCCCAGCAAGAGCAGAATATCAAGCCCCAGTTCTTCGCCTTCCGCTGGCTCACGCTGCTGCTGTCCCAGGAGTTCTTGCTGCCGGACGTCATCCGCATCTGGGACTCGCTCTTCGCCGATGACAACCGCTTTGACTTCCTCCTCATCGTCTGCTGTGCCATGCTCACGTGAGTGACCTGGCGTGGCCGACGGTGGCCGGCGGGTGGTCTGAATTCGGGGAGCGCCACCCAGTCTTGCCAGGGGCTGGGAGAAGCAGGAGGGGCCTATGGTGGAGCAGCCTGGAGCCCAGCACCTCAGCTGCTTGTTTCCGCGCAGCCTGATCCGGGAGCAGTTGCTGGAAGGGGACTTCACTGTCAACATGCGGCTCCTGCAGGTGAGGGGGCTTAGGGTCGAGGACGTCCAGCCCTCCACTGGCCTCGTGTGTCGTGTGCCCTCGAGCTAAGGGCTTGGCCTCTGAGCCCCGCACCGTCCGTGAGTCAGCTCACCCAGGGTGCAGCGCTGCCCAGAGCAGGGCCCGGTGGTCACCTGTGGTGGTTGGACCTGGAGGCCCGGGAGGTGGAGCTAGGGTTTTTCAGTGACACTGTAAACTTGGTCTCCAAAACAGGCACCATCACAGCAGCCCTTCCTAGGGCTCTTGCAGAGAGGACTTAGAGCCCAGGCCCACACTAAGCCCAGAATCGGGCCTGGACGTGTGGGACTCTGGGGAGACAGACAGGGTGGGCCAGTCCTGGGAAGCCTGTGGGCTGTCACGTTGGGCTGGTTGGTGGTGCAGGGTTGGGGTGTATGTGGGGTGTCTGGGGCCTGCAGCGTGGTGGCAGGTCCGGGTGGGGGGTGCAGTGGTGGCAGAAGTGGCGGAGGGTGAGCTGTGGCAGGGCACATTGTTGGCCTTTCCCGTGCCAGGATTACCCCATCACGGACGTCTGCAAGATCCTACAGAAGGCCAAGGAGCTCCAGGACTCCAAGTAGCCTGGCGGCGAGAGGCTGGGTTTGGGAGAGCGGCCACTGCCCGCTGCGCTGGGCTCTGGGGTCACTGGGCTCTGGGGTCGTTGGCCCACAGGGCTGCAGCAGGTGCAGCTGCTCCAGGTCCACCTGGCTCCCGCCACCAGGCTGCACCCTCCAGAGTGCACTGCACCGTCTCCTTCAGCCACCTAGCCCTGGTGTCCTCCTTGCTCTTGGCCCTGGGACCCTGTGCCTCGGCTGCGGAGCAGGGTCAGGGGCCCTTTGAGGTGGAGGGAGGCTGGCAAAGGTCCCTCCCTGCCTCTGCTCTGCCGCCTCCCTCGTCCCTCCCTGCTTCCAGTCTTCTGGGTGCCGCTGTGTGCGTGGGGGTACTTGTCAAATGGCCAGAAACCATTTCTGGGGCTTGGTGTTCAGGCTTCTTCGTGGGGAGTGACACCAAAGGAGACAAGTGACCGCCAGGCCCAGGTCCCACCCGGCCTGCCCCCGAGCACGAGCGAGCACGAACGTGTCACTGGCAGGAGTTGTCCAGTCCATCTGCAGTGTGCAGGCTGCGCTCGGGTGGGCGAGAGTGTCTTGGGTCCCTCCGGGGTCTGGCTTCCCTCTCTCTGTCTCTACCTCCGCCTCTGTTGCCCTGCGCCTCTTTCCCTGGAGGGCTGGGACTGCCTCCCCCTTCACTGCTGCCCTTCTGCCTTTCTGTCTCGGGATGCCTTATCTGGAGCCTCTTCCTGCCTCTCCTCCTCCACTCCTAGGAAGCCCAGAGGCAGATGAGGAGTGTGGCTCAGCAAGGCCCCTGGGGTCTGCTTGGCCTCCACGTGCTGCCCAAGGCCGGGCTGCAGCCTGGGAAGGACTCCCAGTGCCTCTCCCGCCGCGGAGTTCTGGAAACCCATGAAGCTGTGCACCTCCCGCCTGTTCCTGTGCAGAGGCCCCTCAGAGCCCTCCTTGCTCCAGGGAGAGGACCTGACGGCATAAGGTGGCGGCAAGAGGTGTCGTCCACCTGGTCTCTAGGTCCCAGGAAGCCTCTTGGCCCAGGTGGAGCGGAGCCTGCGGCCTGCACCGTGCAACCAGGAGGGCCCATGGGTCCTTGGTGTGCCTGTGCCCCGCGGGGCAGCCGCAGCCGCGGGAGCTGCCTGTGACAGGGCAGGTGGCTGGGTCTGAAGGCCGGGTACTGAGCCCACCCCACAGTGCTCTTAGCCCGGAGCCGCCTGGGCTGGGCTCTCGGATGCGCCGGGACTCTGCACTTGCCTTCGCGCCGCTTCTCTCCCAGCACAGGACTTGGGAGGTTTTTACTATTTATTCAGACCCTGCCTATTTATTGCGGATTGGCAAGTGCTTTGGGGATGGGAGATGGTGGTCGGCTCATTCCCCCAGGTCAGCGTGGACATCTCTCCCTCCGCTGCCTCGGGGCCTCCTGGATTCCCACTAGGTCCTGGTTGGGAGGGTTGCGAGCTCAGCTGGAGCTGGAGTAAGGGGACCAGGGAACTTGTGTCCCGGCCGGACCCAGAGCTCAGGACGGTGCGGACAGTCCTGCCAGCGGGCTCCCTCCCGCAGCTCCTCAGCGGGTGGCTCTGACCTCCACAACCTGAGCTGTGGGCCGCCCGACCCAGCAGGTTCTGCCCCGACACCCCGTGTGTTCCCTCCGGCCTGTCCCTGGCTTCCTTCTTGGGACCATGCTACTTGAATCACGGCATCTGATTGGCCCCAGTGGGGGAGCCGAATCCAGTGCCCTGTCCCGCGCCTCTGCACCAGGCAGAGCTGCTCCTCCTCGGGATGCTGCCTGATGCAGGAACCTGGCCTGGCTGATTCTGCCCAGGATTCTTGGGGTCTGTGGAGTTGCAGTGCCCGAGGCTTCCGCGGAGAGCTGGAGCTGCCCCCCACAGGCAGGCTGAGCGGTGTGGAGCCGCAGTTCTCAGTCCAGAAGGTCAGCGTCAGTCGGCTGTCGTTTCGTCTGTTTTGTTCTCAGAATCAGTGCTGTTGAGTTGTCTTTAATAAATCCTGTGTTCTTTGCAGTGGGCGTTGTTGCTGTGAGGGGCTGACACAGGGATAGGATGGACCGGAGCCTCCTAGATGGGCTCAGAGGAAGGCCAGGGCGCTCTCCTGCTAAGCCACAGTGCTGCCGCTGGGGGAGAAGGGCATGTGGGTGTGGGAAGGGAGAACTGTGCTACCTGATCACATGGCCAGTGTTTCTTAGATTTTAAAATACTTGATTCAGCTGGGTGCATTGGCGCACACCTTTAATCCCAGCACTGGGGAGGCTGAGGCAGGAGGATCAGAGTTTGAGACCAGCCTGGGCTATGTGGAGAGACCCTGTTTCAAAAAAGCAAAATAGGGGGTTGGGGATTTAACTCAATGGTACTGTGCCTGCCTGACAAGCACAAGGTCCTAAGATCAATTCCCTATATCAAAAATAAATAAATAAATACTTGAGTGATTGTTAGATGTAGAAAAACAGGATTTAACAAATTGTTTCAAGATTAAAACCTCTTGACAACTTTGCATAAAAGGAGTAGACCTGACAGGTGTAATGGTGCACGCCTGGAATCCCAGCCCTTGAGAGGCTGAGATGGGAGGGATTTCTTCGAATTCCAGGCCCGGGCTACACCAGCCTGAATGACATACTGAGACCTTGTCTGAAAAAAAACAAGAAAAGGGGGTCTGGTTTTAGCTCCGTGGTTCCACTGCCTGCCTTGCAAGCACAAGATCCCAAGTTCAATCCCTGATATAAAAAAAAGGAATAGGTACTCATGGCTAAGGGCATGCCCTGTGAAAAGGTGAAAGGTCTTCCTGGAAGGTCAGGAAGGGAGACACAAAAGGGAGAAGCAAGGGCCGGGGATTTAGCTCAGTGGTTCCATCGCCTGCCTTGGAAGTGCAAGGACCAAAGTTTGATCCCTGGTACCAAAAAAGAAAAGGGAGAAGCAGAAACTGTCCACATGGGAAAGGAAGAAGTAGGTCATCTGCTGGCAACACGATCTCGCATGGAGAAAACCCTTCAGACTGCAGCAAAAGTGGCCGGAACTCAAATACTGCAAAGTATAGGATCCAGAGTCTGCACTCAGGGAGGGGCGTAGCCAGAATACTTAGTGGTGCGTGGGCCTTGGAGCCCACCCTGTCCCTCTCCTGTGTGCACAGGAAAAGACGAGAAACAAACGCATACGCTGTCAGTGGGTTTTGTACAAAAATGCCAAGAACACTGGGAAAAAGAAGCAGAAGAATGAAATTGCACCTTTATCTCACGCCACGTACAAAATCAACGGTCACAGGGAAGCACCTCCCAGTCGGACAGATGTCGGAGGTGCCACGTTTGCATATCCTGATGTGGAATCAATGATGAAGGTCACCAGTAGGAAAGGTTTGTTGAAAGAAAGCTCCTGAGGCAGGAGGGGTTCTGAGTGGGTGGCCGCTGAGGCTCCTTGTCAAGGCCATTTTAGACGGCATAACTGCAGCGTGGGGGGCTGGGTGTCAGACCCCTACCAGCCTGCAGGAATTCAAGCACAACAGCAGTGGTTTACTGACCCAGAGGGGAGGTGGCGGGTGCCATTAACTAGCTTATCCATAATATGCTCAACAAGCGTTCCCACCAGGAAGAGCCAGTGACACCTCCCAGGAGAGGGGAAAGAGGAGCTTTGGGGCCTGGCATTAAATTCTGGCCTTGTATCTTACATGGCCGTGGAGATACTGGCCATTTACAGGAAAGTGCACGGCTTCCCCTCAGGGTGCTGTTCCAATGTCTAAGGCTACCTGCTTCTAGGAAGATGACGGCTTCCCTCTTATTTAGGATGGAGAAGTTACAAAGTGTCCTGTAGGGACCCCATGAGTATAGCTAAGGCCTCACTGTGGTGCACGGCAGCCTCTAATCCCGGGGAGGGGACAAAGGTAGCCCCAGGCACAGGATCGCAAGAGTGAAACACGCTCCTGGACTCTGCTGTTGATGGGGTAAGTTTTCGGGCTGGTCAGTATTTTTGACCCTTCTGCCCTGCAGCCATGTCAATCCCAGCATGCATCTCCCTGTCCACCAGAAGAGTAGCCCCGGCCACAGATTAGTTCTGTAGGACCAGTAAGTGTCCTCGATGGTTTTTCATCTCATTCCAGGGCAGTTAAGCCTGTCAGTTGTATAGGCTGTGTACCCACTGATGGGGGCGGTGTTCAGAGAGTAGGAGTGGTTTGAGTGATTTGTTTCCAACACGAAGGGGTGTTGCTTCTGTTTTGGAGACAAGGTCTCACCATGTAGTGTAGGCTGGCTAGGAACTCACTGTGTAGTTCATCCAGGCTGGCCTAAAACTCACAGCAGTCCTCCTGCCTCGCTCTCCGGAGTGCTGGGACCAGGCCTGCACCACCATGCCCGGCCTGGATCCCCCTTTGGGGCAGTCTGTTGGGATTCAGCCAGTAAGGCGACGTCTCTCATCAACACATCTGTTTCTCTTTTTTTGGTACTGGGAATCAAACTAAGTTCCTTGCGCTTGCAAGGCAGGTGGTGGAACCACTGAGCTAAACCTAGGCCCAAGGCATCTATTTCTCTATGGAAGAGAAGATCATTAGTGAGAAAAGATTGTCCATTGAGCATCTCAAAAAGACAGAGTCCTAGAGATTGAGGTGTAGTTCTTACTTTAGTAAGAGCTAAAGGTGGTAACCTGGGCCACTGTACATGGGTTTCCTGGCCGTTTTAGGAAGGTTTCCCTTTAGAGTCTCATTCAGTTTTTGACCTTTCCTGGCAACTGTGGTCCCCAGGCACAGTGAAGGTGATAGCGAATGCCCAGTGCCTGAGAGACACTGGGTGACTGCTGCTTTAGAAAAAGGCCGAGGGGGGCTGGGATTTTAGCTCAGTGGTTTCACTGCCTGCCTCACAAGTGCAAGGTCCTGAGTTCAATCCCCAGTACCAAAAAAAAAAAAAAAAGTCCCAGGGCCAGGGATTTAACTCAGTAGTTCCACCGCCTGCCTTGAAAGCGCAATGACCCAAGTTCGATCCCTGCACCCAAAAGTATAATTTAAAAAAATAAAAGAAGGCCCATTGTCACCGTAAGCTCTTAGGAAGTCCACATCTGGGGATGGTTTTTTGGTTTTATTTATTTACTTTTGAGCTTGGGTCTTGCTGCATAGTCCAGGCTGGCCACAAACTCGCAGTGATCCTCCTGCCTCAGGCTCCCAAGGGCTGGATTATAGGTGTGCACCACCATGCCTGGCCCTGGGGAAGGTTTCTGAGAGCAAAACCCTCACCACCTCTTATACTTTTTCTGTTCTATAAGGAAGAGCTCAACCCGATTAGTAAAAGTACCTATCCAGATCAGTGGGCAATGTATTTCTTTACTTTTTGGCACATGGGTAAAATGAAGCTACCAGTTTTCCCCAGGATATTTGCCATCTCTGCACCCTTGGAGGTCTGGTTAGGAGACTGCTTTTTGGCAGAGCTCATGTGTCTTAACTATCTCCTGTTCGAGCGGAGAGCTCCTTTCCTGTGAATAACTCTGAGGTCATCTGGTGGACTGGTCTCTCCCCAAGTGGAAGTTTTGATGTAAACAAGAATGACCTTCCTGCTGATTAGCACCAGACAATTTGAGTCGCCTGATCGTGCCCACCCTGACAGGCACCGCTGACACCTGTGGGAGAGTGGGAGGGAGCCTGTTCTATTTCTGACAGGATATTTAGGTTGAGACTGATTGGAGGACCCTTCCCACATCAGGAGGGCCTGACGGTAAGGAGGCCGCTCAAGCAGCTTCTTCTGCAGTGGTGTCAGCCAGTTGCTTACCTTGGGATCCTTCATCAACTCCTTTTGGCCCTCTACAGTGGATTACTGCCGCCTTGGAGGGCAGATGATAAAAGTTCATTTGTCTCATGATATTTTATGGGCGATCCATTGGCTGTTAGATAATTCCTCTCTTTCCATATAGCTGTATGGGCATGCAGCACTAGGAAAGCATACTTTGATTCACTATAAATGTTGACTTACTTTCTGTCCTTTTCTGAATTGTAAAGCTTTTGTCAGGGCTGTGAGTTTTGCCAGCTGAGTGATAGTCCCAGGAACAAGTGAGGTGCTTTTGAGTGTCTCATGTAGTCACCACAGCATATCTGCCGCCTTTGAACTGTCATCGAAAAAGAGGGTTTACATCAATTGACAAATGGATAACAAAGATGTGGGGTTTTAATACAATGGAGTACTACTCTGCCATAAATAAGGATAAGCTTGAGACCGTTCTAGTTAAATGGATGCACCTTGAAATCATACTCTTAAGTGAGATAAGTTGGACACACGTTTAAATGCTGCATTGTTTCTCTAGTGTGAGAAACAGTGGAAATAAGGACCAAAATGTATAGTAGATATTGGGAAATGGGAAGAAAATGTTCAAATAAGGAGAGGACCAGGGATTTAGCTCAGTGGTTCCACCATCTGCCTCAGAAGTGCAAGGTCCTGAGTTCAATCCTTTGTACAAAAAAAAAAAAAAAGTCAAAGAAGGGGAACAAGAGGCGGGGAGGGGAAAGGAAAAAGGAACAAGAAAAAGAATAGAAGGAAAATGGAAACAAAGCTTTTATTTTTGTAAATGAGGGATAGAGAAATTGGAGGGGAAAGGAGAATGGGGAAAAAAAAAAGCAGCGAGATATATCATGTACTGGTACAAATTCCCTAGGGTGAATGTTACTTTTATCTATATCTAAAATGTACCAATAAAAAAATTACCATTTTTTTTAATTTGAAAAAAAGCGGGCCGATAAAGTGTGTGCCTAGACTTTCATACAGTGAGACCCTTGCCTAAAGTCACTTTGGATGCCTCTGGCACTGGCAGAGCCACAGAGCCACAGCCCTGAGGCCAGCAGGCCACCCCTTACTCCTGTGTGTGAATCATGACAAGCCCTACAGGGTTCTGACAGATAGACTGAGATGCTGTCCTGTTGGAAGGCTCAGGGGCAGGTCATTTAGAAGCACTGAAGCTTCTGGAATGCAGTTTAGAAATTGAATTCCCAGGTTAAAGCATGGGTATCTGCTTTCCGGGCTTCCTTTACAAGCTGGTAAGGAGGTTGTGCGATCTCACCATACCCTGCTATCAAGAGGGGCAAAAGCCTGTAATTGTTAGGAATCCTCTCAGCTGTTTTAGGGTCTGAACTGCACAAAGGAAAATATAGGTTTAAGTATTTCTTCCCCCAGTCTTTGGGTTTCCTGAAATATGAGAAGACCCAACTAATTTACCTCAAGGCTAGAAAGTCATGCTTTAGACCCAGAGATCCCGTAACCTCTGCCTGCTAGAAAACTCAGCAGGGTGTGAGTGCCTTGGCTGGAGACTGTTTACAAACAGGGAACACAAAGGAATAGGTCCAAGCTGGGCGTGGTGGCCCACGCCTGTACTCCCAGCACTCAGGAGGCTGAGGCAGGAGGATCCTGTGAGTTCAAGAGCAGCCTGGTCTACATAGTGAGTTACAGGTCAGTCTCAACTACACAGTGAGACCCTGTCTCAAAAAACAAACAAAAAACCCCACCAAAAACCAAACAAAGGAATTGACCAAAGCAAGTCCAAAATCCAACAGGGCAAACATTACACCCCACAGTTCCACTTCAGCATCCCCAGCAATCTGTGGTAAGTCCTGAACTAAAAAAGGGCTTGGGTGACCACCCCTCTGGCATGGCAGTGGTCGTAGCTCCCACGGCTTCTCTCTTGGGCTGGCTCTGCTCCCTTCTTGCAGTTTTCCTCAGACATTTCCACATTCCTTGCACTGGGGAAGCTCTTACCTCTCTCCCAATTTTATCCTCAGTTGCTCAGATTTCAGGATTTATTTTGGTCTCCACTAGAGGGAGCCAATGCACCCGACCTGGGTGCATGTATAATTGCAGTATTCAAACAGGGTATCTCTCCCCAAAAGGGGTACTGGACCTTCAGGAATGGGAGGAGAGGAAGCCACCCCAGTTACAGCTTAAAGGTTGTTAGAAGCAGCAAACCACCTCCTCCCCCATGACTCTTCCCTGAGCTACAATGGCTGGGAGGAAGGCCTGGGTTGAAAACCAGCTGGCCCTAATTCCCTCAGTAGTCGTGACTACCTGGGGCAGCTCTGAGGACATGACAGTCCGGCCAGAGGGAGAGGGTGGCAGGTGCCCCGGCTCCTCAGTCTTCCTGGGCCAGCTGGTAAGATGGTTCTGATCCCTGGGGTCTTCATGTCTAGGGGCCGTTTGATTTCCAGGTCACCATGCACACAGGCACAATTTAGGGTGCCTCTTCTGACGGTTCTTGTCACAATCCCTCCGAAATGGCCTGGTCTCCCACAGCTGTGGCAAGTGAGTTTAGTTGTCGAGCTGTTTTGGACAGACCCAGAGTTTACTCCTTTTAAGGCTGCAACCAGGGCAGCTGCTTTCTCTTGGTCTCTTTGTTTTCTTCCCTTGGCCTCTTCCTGGTCTTGATAACAAAAGCCCAAGGCAGAAGCTCTCACTTGAGCATCAGGTGAGCTGTCCGGGGTAACAGCCACCTTTGAAAGCTTTCTCCTGATGTCTGAGGCTGACTGGGTAATAAATTCATCTGTAAGAATAATCTGCCCAGGCAAGGCATGGTGGCATATGCCTGTAATCCCAACACTCAAGAGGCTGAGGCAGGAGGACTGCCTGGAGTTTGAGGCCAGCCTAGGTTATATAATGAGTTCAAGGCCAACCTGAACTGCATAGTAAGGCTCTGTCTCTAATAATAATAATAATAATAATAATAATAATAGTAACAGCATGCCCCTTTACTGAATCAGAACAAGGATATATACTTTATCAAGGTCCCTTGTAAATGATCTCAGAAGGCTGAGGGGGTCTCATCTTTTTCCTGATTAATAGTTAAAAATTTACAATAGTTGTAGGGCTTCTCATCCTTCATAGGCCTTCAAGGGTACAAGTTTGGAAATGTTTCCTATTCCAATCTCCCATCCAGGTGGTGAACCAGTAAGGATCTTGTGTAGGGGCTGCCTGGGCCCCAGTGGGAACCAGCAGTTTCCCCTGCTCTGTCTGTCTGTCTGTCTGTCTCTCCCTCCCTCCCTCCTTTCTTCTCCCCCCGCTTTTGTACCAGGGATCGAATTCAGGTCCTTGTGCTTACAAGGCAGGCGTAACCTCTGAGCTAAATCCCCAGCCTCTTTTTTCTTTTCTTTTCTTTTCTTTTCTTTTCTTTTCTTTTCTTTCTCTTCTCTTCTCTTCTCTTCTCTTCTCTTCTCTTCTCTTCTCTTCTCTTCTCTTCTCTTCTCTTTTCTTTTCTTTTCTTTTCTTTTCTTTTCTTTTCTTTTCTTTTCTTTTCTTTTCTTTTCTTTTCTTTTCTTTTCTTTTCTTTTCTTTTCTTTTCACAGTCTCCCTATGTAGCCCAGGCTGGCTTCAAACTTCTAATCCTCCTGCTTCAGCATCCCAAGTGCTGGGATTACAGGCATGCGCCACCACGCCTAGCATCTCTTTTGGTCTTTTAAAATGAAGAATATGTGGCCAGGGATTTAGCTCAGTGGTTTCACTGCTTGCCTTGCCAGCACAAGGCCCAAAGTTCCATCCCAGGCACGAAAAAAAGAATATGAGTTTCATCTCCAGATGTAATAGCAGCCTGTAATGCCACTTGTTTCTCAGTAGGGGTCAGTGTTTGACCCAAGAGCACGCCATTATCTTTCCAGTCAAGTTTAAAGGTCTGTAAGTTCCCTGAACACTTCAAAGGACTTATCAGGATTGCTGAAAAACTCCTCAGTCTTCTTTGATATGTTTGAGGTTGCTGAGAGCAAAGGACGCTTGGACAGGGGTAGGGCCGAATTCTCCGCCCACCTCCTGTAAGGGATACTGCCCTTAAGGAGTTTGAACAAAATCAGAAGTGGATACAGCCCAGGAGAGGCTCCTACTAGTGGTGGCTTAGAAGGCTTGGCCTCGGGGTATGCAGAGAGAGAGAGAGAGAGAGAGAGAGAGAGAGAGAGAGAGAGACACTTCAGACTAGGTGAGGGAGATGCACCAGCCTGAGGGGACTAGAGGCATCTGGTTTTTCAGTGACTTTTAATATAAGTCAGGATTGTCTTTTAAAGCAAAGAAAATCTGAACATAGCTTTCCTCTGACCATTTCCCCCTCCTTTTCAGGACAACTCCATTTGCAAAATAGCACCATAGTCAGTACTCCCTCGGGGCCCCACTTTGCCACCAGGGTCCCCAGGCCACTTGTGGGTACAGAAACAGATGAAACAGCACTTTGTTAGGGCCTGGGGAATCCAACAGGTGCCAGGGCTTGAGAATACACTCCAAAGGAGCAAGGGAACTAGACGTGAGTTTCTCAGAAAAATAACTAAGGGGCCAGGAGTCCCTTTATAATCGCTTGTCTTTGATGCCCTCAGGGTGTCCCTTGGGGTTCCCTGCTGCAGAGCAGGTGGCTGCTAGACGGGATCATCCACCCCTACCGGTACCTTGTGCTCCTGCTTCCTCTGCATTCCCATTCCTGTGTCACACTCACGTTTTCAACTCCAAGGCCGGTCTCTAAAAGCAACAGCTGCATTTTACGGACTACAGCAGCCCTGTTTGAGAAAGGAAGCATCGCCAAACAGAAAATGAAGCTAGTTTTTTTGTTTGCTTGTTTGGTCTTTTGAGACAGGGTCTCACTGTGTAGTTGAGACTGACCTGGAACTCACTATGTAGCCCAGGCTGGTCTCGAACTCACAGCGATCCTCCTGCCTCAGCCTCCTGAGTGCTGGGATTATAGGAGTGCGCCACCACACCTGACTCAGAAAATGAAGCTAGTGATCAAGGGATCAGACCAACAATTTTCTGAGAGAGGAGGCAGAGAGAGCTGGGGGGGGTCAGGGGATAAAGGCAGATTTTTTTAATAAAAAATTGGGGGGGTGCTGGGGATTTAGCTCAGTGGTTCTGTCTCCGGCATTGCAAGTGCAAGGACCCAAGTTTGGTTCCCGGTACCCCCCCAAAAAAAATTTTTTTTGAGACAGGGTCTTAACTGCAGTTCAGGCTGACCTTGAACTCACTATGTAGCCCAGGCTGGCCTCAAACTTGTGTCAGTCCTCCTGCCTCAGCCTCCTGAGTGCTAGGATTGCAGCAGAAGGGCAGATAGGAGGACTCCTTCAGACTCCAGTGTTTGGGAATCACAATGTGTGTGTTTTGGAGATAGGTTTTTCTGTGACCCAGCCATCACTCTCTCCACAGTGTCTGAAGATGGGTCTCTCCAGGGGTTGTATGAGACAGCCTCACCCAAGTCACTGGGTGGGCCGTGTGCTTGGCTGTCTTCCTGGCTGAACAAGGCTCCTGAGTCCCACCTCACCTGAGGACAAGACGCTTTTACCTTGTGAGGCCACTGCGTGTCCTGGGGGGAACCTGCCTCCTGATTTGTCTTCCCGTTTCTGGGAAGGGGAGCAGGTGCTGCCTATCTATGGTGTCTCTATGCACAAGCACTTATTTTCTAGGGATTCAGAAGCCTCCAACTGAAAAGGAAAGAGATTTTCAGGATCCCAGGGAGAAGCACGTTACCACTTCCTCATCCTATGTCAGCTGTCCCTATGCAAGGTGAACACCAAAACCTGTTCCATGGCTACTGGGCCCTCACACGTCCCTGAGAGCACCAAGCAGCAGCCAATTAGAAGGTTGGAAACCATCCCAAGGAGCTGTGTATGATAAGAACAAGCCACCAAGGAAGAGGCCAAGCCGGCCGAGGAAGGAATACAGGGACCTGTTTGCAAAATAAGATGCCCCATGAAAGAACTCCAAATATTTTTAAAAAGAGCACAATCTCTCCATGCTCTCCACTTAAACCTATTATCATTTGGACAAAAAAGACAAGGCGTGGGTGACCCACAAACAAGGGATGACAATTCTCACCTAAACCATGCACAGCCCAGTGGAAATACTCTGGGGATGGCCTCGAGGCAAAAGCAAACACATCCCTCCGCCCACGGATCTCGGTGGACCTCCGATCTGTCACCAGAAGCACCTCCCAACCTGTCAGATGTCAGATGCTCTGAGACTGTGCCTCCTGATGTCCAAGAGTGGATTTGAGGACAAAGACGATGAAAAATAGGAAAGGTTTACTGCAAGAAAGCTCCTGAAGAGACAGCAGGGGTCCCCGGAAGTGGGTGGCCACTGAGGCTCTTTGTCAAAGACATTTTAAACAGCAAAATCACAGTGTGGGCAGTTAGGGGTCAAACCCCAACCAACCTATAGGGTTCCAAGTAAGGCTGCTTAGCTAACAGCGATCCAATAGGGAAGTGAGGCACCATTAACCTGGACTTATCCAGAACTTCTAGCATAGAAAGAATGAAAGAGTCCTGAGTCCGATCCACGATACAGAAAAAAAAAAAAAAAAAAAAAAAAAAAAAAAAAAGGTGCTCCTGGAAAGAGGTGGAGGTATGGTCAGCATGATCTAGTCACCCACCTCTGTGGCTCACTGGACCAGGCAGGGCTCATTACAGCATAATCTCAAGCTACCATCTAATGACAGGGAGGCTTGCATACCTGTCCATCATGTCTCCATCTTGACACCGGGTCTCTTCAAGTTCACTTCTATTAGCCAGGCATGATGGTGTATTGTATGCCTGTAATTCCAGTACTGTGGAGGCTGAGGCAGGAGGATTGCTGCAAGTTCCTGTGAGTTAGAGGCCAGTATAGGCCACAGAGTAGTCCAAGACCTGCCTGGACTACATAGCAAGACCCTGTCTCAGAAAAACAAAGTGCTGGGCCAGGGATTTGGCTAAGTGGTGCCGCACTTGTCTTGCAAGCACAAGGTTCCCAGTACCAAAAAGAAAAAATGCTGGGTAAATAAATACCCCAGGCTGGTCTTTCAATTGTAAACTCCTGCCTCGGCCCTGGGATTACAGGGCTGTGCTACCATGCCTGGCACTTTTGGGGGTAATTATTGCAGTAGGGTGACTATAGTTAGTTATAATGTATTTGTTTTGGTACTGGGGATCGAACTCAGGACCTTGCACTTGTAAGGCAGGTGGCGGAACCACTGAGCTAAATCCCCAGCCCACTAATTGCTAAGAGAATACTTTTAAATGCTTTCATGACACACACACAAAAGTATTTGCAGTGACTGATATGTTAATTTGTTAAAATCTTTCCATATTGTATACATGTGTTAAAAACACATTATACCCAGTAAATGTATTTGAACACCTTACAATAAAAAACTTTCAAAATTCAAAAAATTTAATTAAACCTGCCCCCATACCCTGTAATCTAGAATCACCAGTAACATGCCATTTATTTTCTTTTTTCCTTTTTTAAAAAAAATTTTGGTACCGGGGATTGAACTCAGGACCTTGTGCTTGTGAGGCAGGCACAGTGCCACTGAGCTAAATCCCTGGCTCTAACATGTAATTTTTTGAAAATGCAATTATTACTGCATGATGGTTATCTTAATTTATAGTTTGTTTATTTTTTGGTTTTTGAAATAAGGTCTCACTATGTATCCCAGGCTGCCCTTGAATTTACTATGTGACCAGGCTGGCCTGGAACTTGCAGCAATTCTCCTGCCTCAGCCTCCCCTGTGCCAGAATTGCAGGCCTGCACCACCACACCCAGAATTCTGATTTATAGCTTCTGTGTATGGTATTGTTCTTTCCCCACTTTAAGTGGTAAGAAAGTTGCTGCATCATTCCAGCCTCAGAAATAATACTATGGTGATTAATCATGTTCAAAAATCCCTTATTCCTGCCGGGTGTGGTGGTTCACAACTGTAATCCCAGCACCTGGGGGGCTGAGGCAGGAGTATCACCACAAATTCTTGGCCAGCTTGAACCACATAGCAAGACCCTGTCTCCAAAAAAAAAAAAAAAAAAAGGAAAAAATCCTTTATTCCCATTTGGTTTGGTTTCCTGGCCTCAGTCCTGTAATTCAGTTGAAAGGCATAAAATGAACCTTTTTAAAACTCACAATACTGACCCACTGCTTTCTGGAGTCAGGGTACCGAGGGCTGCCCGCACCCCTTTTATCAGGCTGGGTTTCAAGAGAATCTTTGGGGCCAGGCGTGGTGGCCAAGCCTGCAGTCCCAAAATTCCGAGAGGCTGAGACAGGAGGGTCACAAGTTTGAGCCCAGCCCGGGCAATTTGGCGTCTTACGGAGTTCCTGTTTTAAAATAAAAATAGGGGGCTAAGGATGCAGCTCAGGGCCTGGGTTCAGAATAATCATTGCCAGGTTAACAGAGTTAGGACAAACTGGAGGAGTCCGACAGGCTTGGGATCCTGTACTTGTTCTGCCTACTAGGAGCTTCCTCACGTCTGTTTTGAGGGTTAAATGACGCAGTGTAAAAGCAGGGTAGAGACGCGAGCTCCTCGCACATGCGCAGAGCCCAAGCCCCCCCACACTGTGGAGCGACTGAGGGGCGGAGCCGGAGGCCCTTCTGCAGCCAATCCAGAGCCGAGGCGGTGGTGCCCCGCCCCCTCTCCCCGGCGTTTTAAAAGGGCGAGGAAAGGGCTCGGGGACAGCCACGTGGGGGTCGGTCCCACCTCCCCTGGCGCGGGTTTCCGTTTTTCCCCAGCGCCTCCGCGGCGGACCCGGCGG